ATATATATATATATATATATATATATATATATACACACACACACACACACATTTTCAAAAATACAGCATGCAAATGCAATATAAACAAAGTTTATGCATTTTAAACCAGATTTTTTCCAGATTTTTTTCATTTTCATCATCCCGACACCCTCAATAGTCAATGTTCACATAAAAGGAAGGTTTGCTTTCATAAATGAGGATAATAAATTAAATAAGGGATCAAGATCAGAATCAAACACAGTCTCTAAACATTAAACACAGTCACATGGCTGCGGTTCACACTCACCTCTCCTGTTCATGGGTCGCACCCGGACCGCCACTTTCACATTAGACTCATTCACAGCACTTTCATCCATCATGAAGATCTTCTGCACCTGTCTCACCAGTTCCTGTGTTATTACGAGCAATAACTCTATTAAACAAACATGCAGCTTATTTATTTAATACTACAAATTATGAGCTTAATTTGTCAAACAGCTCTGAATAATCTTTTTAACATTGTAACACTGTTTCAAGTGTTTGACCTGTAACAGTGTTCCAAAGTTCCAAAATGACAAATTTAGGAATGCAATTTAAGAACTTTTAGGTTAGAATGCAGTAAAACCTAGTTTTACCTGTTCATGGAGAGTGTGACTGCTCGTTATGGAGTTGTGTGTGTGTGTCATTCCAGCAGTGATCATGTGGAACTGCTACAGATTAAATGACCAGAACAGAGACACTGACTCATCCAGACCGGAATAAAACACTTCCAGACCGACCAACGGAACAAACATCAAACACGAGTTCATACAAGAGAACGCAGCGATAAATCCACCTGCTTCATTTCCTGTTCTCTCGCCATCTTACCGTTTTAAACTTCAGCGGATCTTCAGGAGCGTCTGAGCAGGTGAATCACGCACATACGGGACCGACGGAGCGTAAACACAACGTGCAGGTAGAGCCAGACCGTCACTCAAACCAGTGCTCAAGTGGGCGGGGCCTGCGGGGCCTGCCGGTGTTACGAGATTCTCGGTTTCCGAGATTTTCGGTTTCAGCGTCACTCAAACCAGTGCTCAAGTGGGCGGGGCCTGCGGGGCCTGCCGGCCCGGAGCTGTTTCTGATTGGACAGTTGAGTTACGGTGGGTCTCTATGGGGTTAGATCGCTGCCACAATTCTGCGCGTGAAAGATCATATTTTGAGTGCACAAAAATGCATTTTGCACGCGCGTGATCTGAGTTTTGTGGAGAAAATGTTCGTCTCGCAAAGAAAAAAGTATTTTGAACGCACTAAAATCAATTTTGCATTTAAAATACGTTTTTGGATGTGTGCAACGTAGGGCTGTGCAAATAATCGAATGCACACTGAACGGTCTCTCCTCCACATCATGAGTAGACACGCCTGTTACTGCGGACTGGCTACAAGTTTGTTTTGCTAGCTGGCCCGAATCAGTTTTCTTAAGCGTTTTTGGAAAATCGCTTACCCCACCTTTAAGTAGGGGTCATTTTTTTTAGGATTCTATAAATAACCTAAGTCTCTGAGAACCTGACACCTTGTACTTCTGGAGACTCCAGGTAGGTTGCAGTTCTGGAAAATGGTGGCGCTGGAGACTAAATGGTTCCTGGTGATTTCACATCTAATTCTTCCCCTTAATTCCTAATTCTTTTGCAGTTAACATGCATCTTTTCTTCTCCACATGTTTTTGACTGACCCTGCTGACCCACTGAGCGAGAGCACTGAGGGCGGGCATCAAGGGAGCAAGCTAGTGAAACCTTGCGCGTGCAAAATGCACTTTTGTGGGAATTGTAGAATTGTGGCAGAGATCTTATCCCATAGGGCCTCATTTATAATTTTTCTGTTTTATTAAGCTTTCACTGCTAGTGGACAACTGACAATAGGTGATGTTTTTATTAGTTCATTATTTATTTGTTTCTGAGTACCATTATTAATGAGTAAATTGTTGTAGTTTTATTGTAGTGTTTGTCAGACATCTGTGTTTTTGTTAAAAGGTTACATGAAAATCTACACGAAGCAAAAAGCCTGGCTATAACTCAGTGCTTTGAGGGTCTTTTGCGGGATGATTATAATATATATACATATTTATTTATACTATAAAATATTATATATAAATAACAAAAATGCAAGGGCGCTAAATAAACAAAAAAATGAAAGTGCACTGTTTATAATACTGAATAAATATGCTGAATTTTTTTTTAAACAGATCAGATACAATTACAATATATTGGAACAAAAATATCTTA